ACTACTACTACCACTACCACTACCACTACCACTACCACTACCGCTACTACTACTACTACTACTACTACTACAACTACTACAACTACTACAACTACTACAACTACTACGACTCCTACGACTCCTACGACTCCTACTCCTACTCCTACTCCTACTCCTACTCCTACTCCTACTCCTACTCCTACTCCTACTCCTACTCCTACTACTCCTCCTCCTCCTCCTCCTACTACTACTACTCCTACTACTACTACTACTACTACTACAACAGACTTTTGTCATTACTACTACTTCTTCTACTTCTTCTACCACTACTGCTACCACTACCACCTCTACTTCTACCTCCATGTATACTCCACATCCACTAATTATTACTACGTCTACCACCACCGCCGCCACCGCCACGCCGACGACTGCCTACTACCTTGTGTCCGCTACCTCCTACCTCCTACCGCCAACATACTACCTACTACCTACTGCCAACTACCGCCAGGCACCTCCTACAACCTGCCTCCGGCTAGTACTTCCAACCTCTACTCCTCCTGCTCATCCTCCTCCTGCTGGTGCTGATGCTGATTCGAACTCTACTGCTACTGCCACCGCTACCACATGATCCTATCCCAGCAGCCACTACCATATTGTCACCACCGTCACAATTGCAACAACACGTTCTCCTCCTGCTGCTGCTCCTCCTCCCAGCTCGGTGTTTTGCTCCCTGACTAAGCAGTAGAATCAGAGGCTGATCTTGAAGCCGCTTCATCGATACATAAAAATACTTCCTAAACAGATCAGGCATCGCAGAATATATGTTCGTGCAGTTGATGACCATCTCTCCGGCCACCACGACTACGACAGCTCCGAGACCGACAGACTCATGCATGATCGTGATGACATCGTCCGTCCCATATGCTTGCGCAAGCAAGACTCCGGCGACCATGTAGACTGCCAGGGAACAGCTGCGAGGCAGGGCAACAAGTGATGCAGCTTGACGCTTCGACCGAGCAAATCGGAAGACGTCCGACGCGATCGTCGTGCCCACAACCCACCCTCCCACAACAATCCCGGTTCCGTGCAGCAGAGAGAGCTCCGAAAGCTCGAGGTCGTGCTTCTTGTGGCCGGAATCTTGCAGGGCCACAACGCATGCCCAGATAACCACGACCAAGAAGATGGGTCCTTGACAGGGGACCAGAGCCCATCAGTCCCAGGGGTACAACTACAGTGTCAACTCATCACCGCCTAAGTTTCATTTCTGCACCCATTAACAAAACACTGAGGCCTGTGATCCAGGATGCGCCAACCATCCAGCGAAAGCCAAAAACGACGACAAACGTCACCTGTCCGCTCTTAGAGGCAAGGTTCCAAGTCACCCAACAAACATGACGCCCATAACTCTGACCTCCAAACTCACTGTCCACGGTTCCATAATCACTTCGACATCGGTTCCAAGTAAGGGTGGTCTTGTCATTGTCCTGCCATGGGAAACCATGAATATCTATAATTCCGAATCCCTGGCCCTGCCAGCGCCCCGTTCGCCAGAGTCCAAGTCCAGGCGTAGCCCAAGCGGCCAATTGCCTCCAAGCCGTCTCCGGCGATCCTATGATCTTGTGGCTTGTGGGCTTCAGACTTAGGGCTTGTCAGGTGAAGGGAACAAGGTCCGCAGGATACCGATTTGTGCTCAGATTGTGCTCAGAGCGAAGAGGAGCTGTTCCGATGGTGCACAGAGCAAGTCCAAAGCACAAGTGGTACATTGCGCTTGCTCTTTCGCTAAAGAAAGGGGTTTGCAGTGTACTCAGAGTCGTAGGTACGGCTCAACGCGGAAACTGCGGGACTCTGGACGCTACCACATGTTGTTGCCCAAGGCATTCATCTGAACAGAGTATGTCGGCCGATTGAGATTCATCCGCAGATTCGCAACTTCGAGGAAGAGGATGCGGATTACAACCGTCAATTGCCAAGACCATTTAGCAGCAACGATTGTAATAGCTGTGCGGCAGTTGTACAATGACAACATAGCCAAGGCATCAAAGTAATCCCTGCTTCCGGCTACTGAAGGCCCTTCTCATGTTAAATCTCCTTGTCGGGGAGCATTTGCCCCGGTAGTTTTAATTCGGCAAGACAGTGGTATGAGTGCGGCCCACTAGGGGAGCCCTGACGGAGTCGCCTACCGGGCAAGGGCTGGCGAGCTGGAACCTAAACTTGGCTCAGGGTATTAGGATGCAGGGCCCACGGTTTGGGATTTGTTAACTACTTATTCAGTCGTTAGGTCCTGATTAAACCTGTACCTGCCAAGCTTACCTACCTATGTCATGAATTACGAAGCTTTTAAACTACAGCACTGAGGAATGGGCAGATGAAAAGTACGACTCCCCTTACACTGAATACTTTCCGTCCAGAAGCCGAAGCGATTGCTGAGGCAGTTCATCCGGATGGGCCGACGTCATTTGTTCACACAGTGCAGCAACGACCAAGCACGACAAACTTGGATATTCTCGAGCTTAGGCAGTAGGACCCAGCACTGCCCTCTTCGTCTCGTGGCACAAAGACTTTAACCAAAGACTCCAGAAAAACGGAGCCAGGAGCCCAGAAAGTATCGAACATGCTCGCTAAAGGTGGTGAAACAGTGAAACATCGAGGCTGTGTGCTGAAGAATCTGGCAAGACTCACGACAGCGTCCTGATAAGCAGCGAACATTAAACCAAAGGCAAGGAGCGCGGCTTGGATCCCAAACCAACCGAAGAGGCTGCCTGTCGTGATGAGGCTCAGTAGCCCGGTGCCTGAAGATGGCTTCGGAGCTTGTGAGCTCGGTAATGGGGTCCAAGCAAACGTCGAACACTGTGTGCATCGTACGGCCTCAACCCGCCTTTGCCGCTGGTGCGGCCCAGTAGCCGAAGTCTAAGCCGGGAAAACACAAACCTCCCGCTCTATCGTGCTTTCCTTGCATGTGATGTCCATTCCCCTCCCTTTGCTTCCAGGCCCCATTCCACCAAGCCCCCACATCTAACCTGTATAGTAGGTTGCTCTCGACAAGGTTCTCCCGATGGCGCTGCTGTTTTCCAGTCCGAAGACCAGGCTCTTTATAGTCTCTTGATCTCGGCACGTCAGAGGTAACCCTTGTTTGTAAAACCCTCCGAGGGAAGCTTGATATCGACCACGGCACCGACCACACCAAGACCTGTCCAGCGCCCCAGCATGGACGTAGTCATGCCTCTGGGGTTTAGGTTCTAGATTTCGTTTGCGTGCTGCGGCTTGGTGTTTTTTTGGTGTTTGTTATTCTCCGCGTTTCGGATTTCGGTCACACTCGGACTCTCCAAGCGAGGCATGTCTCCACACAACTGTTGAGCGAAAACACATAGGCTCCCACAGGCGGTGCGCACAAAACGGGGGCTTGAACCATGCCGGACGGCGAAGAAGGGAGTTCTGTGTGCCCTTCTGACATCTTCCCCAAATTAAGTGCTTGAAATCACGATTCTGTTGGCTGTTCCCCAAAGAGGGGCAAAGATTGTATCGCTTCCATCAGACGACAGGTAGACCGCGGCCCGTGAGGTGATGGCGGGCAGTAGAAAGGCTCAGGCTTAGCTTTGCCGAGGTTGCACCAAAACCAAAGATATCATGATTGCAGCGACACTAGGTTTGCTGTGCTACCTTCCCTTTGTATCCGACACCCCCTGTAGTATATAGAGGGCACGCATGACAGAGTTCGGAAATATTCAGAAGAACCCAGGCAAACAAGGGATTCTCGAAATGGCTGAGGATGGGGTCTCGCGATGCAATGTAAAAGTTAGATGAACCCGGAAGGAGTAAGGCAGGCAGCGGCGAAAAGGGTCACTGTCTTTGAGATTGTGCAGATAGAAAGCTAACGTGGCAGCAACACGAATAGATACTGCAGACCAATGTACTGATGAAGAATCGAAACACTAGCCTTCACAATACATCCCTGGGACCCCGCCTTCTCTGCAGCCGATCATGCCAAGTACCAGGCCCATCAAAGCCAGTATGAGGTTACCGAGGAGAACAGCCAGCAGGGCATCAGTGGAAGTCATCTTATGTCCTGCGTGAGTTCCGAGCGATCCATTCCCAAGGAAACTGACGCTATGAACTGTTGCTACTCCAGCAAGCATCAATGCAGATCTCGAACAAGCACATTGTTCCCTTTGGCTCCGGATCTCAAGTATGTCGGGTTGATTGTTCACTGGTGACATGGCATTACATCTCAGGATTAGGGTTACAAATCAGGGTTGCTTGCAGCAATTGGGCTTGACTTTCAGCTTATCATACTGTCACTGCATGTTAAACCGCCAACCAGCCAAGACCTTGAATTCCTGCACCCAACCTTAAGCCGCCAACTCGTCCTATTTCAGCTCCGAGCACAACATTCGCGATGCAGCCGCCCTGCGCCATCTGCTCCAGTGCCATGGAGGGCCAGGAGTACCGAGCATGGCGCGGTACTCTGCCTTGGCTCTAGGCTGCCTCAAGGCTGAAGATATTTGGAGTTCTGGTTCGAGTGCTTGTGGGCCCTACCCGAGATGTCGAACAACGCCACATGCCGGAAGCTTTCAAGAGGCACCGGAAGAGCGCTTCACGGGCACTTATTTGATACTGGCACCCCCGCTGACACATCCAAGCTGCAAAGGGCATAGTCACTCCCTAAGATCTGCTCTGCGGCTTCCTCGATGGAATTCTCCTTCACACTTGCCTCCTCTGACGACATTGTGGAGGTTGCTTCATCACTGCTGGTGGCAGAGGGCTCCGGATCAGTAGCCATGCCACTGAGGTCAGCCATTGCAGCGCGATGGAGGCAAATGCTACAGTTGGTTTGACGTCACCCACTCACTCGCCGGTACCTAGTTTGCAATCGCCTCGCTTTGACTACGTGGGCTGTGTATCTCTCTGTGCCTGTCTTGTACAGCTGGTCCGGTCCAAACGGTGCGGACATCGGTCAATCAGCGCGCCGACATCCGAACCCCTGAACCCCTAGAACCTTGTAAAAACCATGGACTATACCGATGTCGGATTCGAAAGCTAAACGGTTCACGGCTTGGTCACTGGTCAACTCCGGGTTTAGCTCAGGGACCTCGGATGCAGAAGGATCCTCTTGAACGTCCGAAACCTGCAAGAGTTTTGCTTACCGCCCGAATCCAAATCGAAACCTAAAACTTCTCTGGCCTTAGCAACAAAAAGGTAGGACAAAATTAAGCTGAGCGACATGTCAACCTTTCAGTGGGTGTCGAAATCCCCGAAACGTTGTATACCTAGACCCAGACACCACGTAAAGCATTTCGGACTCAGATTCTGAAGCATAGAAACGGCTTAGAGTTGAGAAAACTTAGAGTTAAATCCTGAGCCTGGCACGTTGCAACTCAGCTGCATCTGGGCGCACCAGCGCCCGCAGCCGCACGGCAAGGGGCGAGCGCATGCGATTTGGTCCCACAGCTATTCGGCTGATCGGAAACTGCTTCACTTGTGGACTTGTGGGTGATTATATTATCTTATCCTATCTCATCTTGTATTGTACTTTAGCTTGTGCATATAATTACTGCATGTGTGTATATAATATATATATATACGTATGTATATATACGTATGTATATAGAATATGTAAGTGCTGCCTCAGCAAGGGTGCGCCGACTGAGACAAAACACATGGTAACCCAGCCGTTCGGCATGTACACACGCGACTTATTTTCCTTCGAACAACCCCGCTCTAGAGTACAGATCAGGAACTTGCAAGGTTGGGGACTCCAGGGATTCTCCGGGGATTCGCAGGAAAAACACTAACTACCCTTCAACAACCCAACTCAAGATCCCAACAAAATAACCAAGGCCTCCACGTCCTCTAAGCCAACAGGCCCAACCCAGATCTTTGGAAGGCTTTGGAAATCATACTTGGGGCTAAAGGGTGAAAGGGGTCCAATTCCGGCTGCCGAGCTCAGGGAAGGTGTACGAAATCTGTGTGACGGATGGTGTTTGGGTCTTGGGCCTGACCTGTATGAGTCGGACAGAGGACATGAAAGATTGCACCCCCAGAGCTTGCCGTGAGCCTGGCACAGGCTCTCCGAGAAAGAGCCTGTCTGAAGTAATGGGCCTACAAGCAAAGATCACACATCTGCACCGTCTGCGCCTGTCCTTAACCCGAACGGGGTGGATCCCTACCCCGAACCTTTGAACCCATTTGTTTTCTGCCTTCCTTGCTGCCTCAGTCGGGTTCTGCAGGAGGCGGATACTGGCCTCGCAGCTGGGGTCACATTTTTGAGATCACGGTACTTCCGATGTAGACAAGGAAGGACACGAGGAAGAGTACAGCACCATGCCCCTTGTGCAACGATAGCACATTTGTAGACCGAAGGGTGAAGAAGTTTGTCTAGAGCCTAGACCCCACGCGTGGAACCTAAACCCTGAAGCCCTCCAGCTATGGGGTTGCACTGGGGCATACTGGGGCTTGGCTTGGTTCCAAATGACCTACAGAGGTCGCAAGGCTGAGCAGGGCCTCTTGTGTTGACCTGGTCATTGATCGAAGCCGCATTCATCAAAAAGTCCAGTCAAAGCCCCACGGCCAAACCCCATCACATAAACCTGATAGGGACGCATGAAAACAATTTTGGCTGGAATCGGCTATGAGATTGAGAGTCAGCGACACGGCTACGGTTGGCAACGAAGCAGCAGCTGACAGCAACCAGGCCTTGAATGACTGGCAGGAATATAGTTCTGATCTTGATCGTAACGAATCAAAGGCACAATGTTAGACTCCATCCTTAAACTTGCACTGAGAAGCGGAGCACATTCAGCATCTGCTGTGTTTGGCCGCCCGCTCGGCATGCGTCCAACAGAACCTCAGGAGGGGCATCTCGACTGTCTCACTTCGAAGCCAGGCTGCGCGGTTATCAAGAAAGTTTCCGTCTCGGAAACCGGAGACTCCGATGTCCAAGGAACCCTTGTAGACTTGCTTGATGCTTTGTCTGGGTACAGCCATGCTTTCAAGAGGGCGTCTGGCTGAGGCTCACAGTGCACCAAATGCACTTTCGAGCTAGTGCCTGGGATGGCGAGGTCGTTCTGGAGCTTGGCAGCGTCTTTGTGAAATGAGTGACGGATCTCGTGAGTAAGATCCTGCTGATACTGTAGCTCCTGTCGGCAGGAAAACAGCAAACAGAAATCCGAGGCACATCGTAGCATCTTTCATCTGGTGCCACTCCATGCCTGATCTGCTTTCGGAGGCTTGGGTCTACGGCTCCAGGCCTTGCAAACGAGCAAAGTAAAACAAGGTAACGCCACGCGAAACGACCCGCGCGATAGCACGAGCGTTTTTGAAGGCAAAATTGCAGTCTCCCACGGTAAAACGCTGATTTCTGGATTATCAGTTCTGGAGACACATCCTCGCGCAACCTCGAAAGTTTTCGGGGCTTGCTTTCGTCATTGATTTATCTCTGAAACGAGTATTTTTGGTGGTGTTACCACAGCAAAAGCATGATTTTGCGTTTGATGGCTTGATTGTTGGGCAACACGTCTTTAAAGCTTTCCGGAGAAAATGGCCTTTTCGGATTTCTGGGGAGGTGTGGGGTTTTGGGGCTTCGGTGTTGCCAAGCCTTTGTAGTCTTGAGGGGCGTTAAGGCAAAAAATGTAGTTTCACTCAGAAAAACGATGTTTTCTGCTTTATCAGTTATTGTTTTGGGAGACAGCCGTGCGCGACCTCTACACGTGTCGACTCTTTCTTTCGTCATTGTGTCATGGTTGGAAGTCGTGTTTTTCGCGGTTTTTCCCATGCGAAAGCAATGTCAGGGGATGTTGGGTTGAAGGATTTGGGGCTTGCACTGCTTCGGTAGGGCACGGGATGCTGGTTTTAAGCTTCTAGCTGCAGGGTTTTGGGTTTGCTTGCTGGGGATTTTTGTTTGGACTTGAACTATTTAGGCCTAGCCGCTATGAAACAGTACCAGCAGACGACTATAGGATTCTAGGATACTAACATAGTATTTAAAATGGTTACGGTTGAGAGGGTTCAAGAGCCCCTGACTCCGCGGTTTCAGTTCTGTGCGGGCTGCCTTAATTCTGAAGCCAGGCAGGTTGATGTGTCTGTAACTGCGGACGGTCCAAAGTCTCTAGGAAGCGTTTAGGGCGGAAGCCTTGAGGATTGGAAGGGTCCAGACTGAAGAACGGCAGGACTTTAGAACGAGTTGAGGTCGGCATGATTGCTCGTAGTGATGGACTTCGGGTGTTGATGATTCACGGTGTAGACGTTTAGGGTTTTAGGGCTTCGGAGTTTAGGTTTCAGAGCTAAATCTAAACCGTGAGCCCGAAACCCTGAGCCCCAGAAGACCGAAGCTAAACTGTGAGCCCGAAACCCTAAGCCCTAGAAGACCGAAGGCTACAAGGGAGTAGCGGCAGCTGCAGCAGCAGCAGCAGCATAGCAAGGGTGGTTAGTGCAGTACAACTATAGTAACTAGTAGCACTGCTACTCCTAGGACTGCTCGGTAATGGACGTCGTCAGACAGAAAGAAACTAGCCCCCCCCCCCCCAACACCTCAACCGCCCCCCACACCCAGAAGCAGACAAAAACAGCAAAAACAAGCATAACCCGCGGGTCAATTGGTAGTGCGTTAGCTAAAACAACCCTGCAAGTGCCTGGCAATTCCAGTTGGGCACGCCCTGCTTGAATAAGACAGATTCCCCAAACAGTGTGGCACGGACACTGGGCTTCTCGTCTTGCAACGTTGGAAGCAGAGAGTTGGCTAGTGTGCATCTTTGGGGCTCCCGTGCCGCTATGTACGCAGTCTCGTCGGGACCTTGGCCTCATTTTGGTCTGAATTCCGTCAAGGCCGCACTCCTTGAAAGGCGGCTAGAAAACAAATTGCACCCAAAACGAAACTCAAAGTGAGACTGGTAGAACTTTCATGCTGGCTGTCATGCACCAAAACAGCAAGAGCAATTGCAAAGATAGCTTAAAGCAACGCAAAGATGCAAACTGCACGGCCTCAGAAACAGACCTAAACCTAAGAGCATGGATGCTTTTGGCCTGCAAAATCTGCACCTTAGCAAGCCTAGTCGCCGATGCATAGAGAAAAAGGTGTCCAAAGCCATCTCCCAAAGGGAGGTCCTGGCTTCAAACACAATCCGCAATACTGTGTCACCAGATGTTGCTGCGCGTAGCAGGAAGAGCTACGAGGGCGGGTGCGACCGCTGCAGTGGCACCCGTAAGCCTACGAGTAGAGCAGCTGTCTAGTAGGAGGACGAACGAGGAGCAGGAGGAGAAAAAATGCGAGAAAGGAGTGTGAGTAGTTAGTCGTCGTCGTCGTCGCTTCGTGTCGTCGTTGTCGTCAAGGTGGTGGTGGTGGTGGTGTAGTGGTAGCAGCAGTCGTCGTAGTAGCAGCAGTGCAGCAGTGGCAGCAGAGGTAGCAGCAGGCAGCAGTGGTGGCAGCAGCCGTAGAAGAAGCCGTAGCAGTAGCAGCAGCGGTGGGTAGTCGCCGTCGTCGAAGTGGTAGCAGTTTCTGTTGTCGTGGTGATTGTTGTGGTTGCGGCTGGTGCTTCTGCGGCACTTGCTATTGCCTTTGATGCTGCCGCTGTTGCTGAACGTTGTGTTGTTGCTGCTCTTGCTGCTCGTGTTGCTGTTGTTTGGTTTGTTGTTGTTGCCGTTGTTGCTGTTGTTGCTTTTGCTGTTGCTGTTGCTGTTGCTGCTGGTGATGTTGTTGTTGTTGTCGGTGGTGGTGGCGGCGGTGGTGGTGGTGGTGGCGGCGGTGGTGGTGGTGGCGGCGGCGGTGGTGTTGAGGTTGTTGTCGTCGTCGTTGTTGTTGGTGGT